AGAGATCGAGGCTACATTAAAGGTATATTCCCTGGAGAGAAAGAATGCTGTTTAAAAAATGATCTTGGAGTGCCACTTAGGCCCACAGTTGGCTCATCATTTGCTGCATAATTGTAGCCATTTTAAATACTATTAACATTTAAGTTATAAGGGGCTCAACCACCACTTGCCAGGGCAGTACCGCCCTCTAAGTGGAAGGAAATTAATTTATAAAATAATGTGATCCATCTTTCTTGCCTCAATTGATATGGGGATTTTTGTGTTGTTGTTGTTTAAATTCAGATCAGGTGTTTGGATGTGCTCTTCAAGTTCTTTGTGACCGTGAAAAGAGTACAGTGCCTCACTTCGTCAGGCAGTGCATTGCCACCGTGGAGAAAAGAGGTACAGAATACTCTACATTTCACCTAAACTGAAAATCTAAGCCCAAACAGTCCACATCTTCAATTCAGTGATGTGCATCCATTATGCAACTTGATCAGAATTTCCATAACATTTACATTTTGAGTCCTTCATTTTGTTTTGTGACTCATAAAAAGCTCTGTTAAGTTGTTTTTGGTACTGAAGCAAAAAAAATGAAATGTGTGAGTAAAGGCCCTTATTTCTCTTGTGGAGATACAGATAATAGCTGCAATTTTTCTGTCTCTCAGGCTTGGATATTGATGGACTTTATCGAATAAGCGGTAACCTGGCCACAATACAAAAATTGCGCTACAAAGTTGACCATGGTAAGCCACTGTGACTTGTAAATGGGATTGCTTAGTGAGGCATAATGTCCATTGCCTGTAGAAGATCCCAGGTTTGTTCATGTCTGTAAATAATTTTGAGATGTATATGAGGCTTCCTGAAACCTGGACACTGTCCAGGAATGTTGGTATCAACATCTTTGTCAAAATACCTAATAGAATATCATGCATGATATTCTAGCATGAAAGAAATGTTTCCCATCCTACTGTCCAGAACCCACATGGACATACTAGGATGCATGGAGAAGCAGTCAAGGAGTCGGGAATCAACCTAGTTGACTGAGCTTCTCTCTTGGAGCCACTTTCCCATGTTATGGCACACACTAGATAAAGCAAGGTAAGGAATATTTAGCTCAGTGTTTTTGAAACATAGCAACTTTGAGATGTGTAGACTTCAATTGCCAGAATTCCATAGCCATGGAAACTAAGTGCACTCTGCACTCACCTTTTCTTCTTCAGCATGGTTCTGGAGCAAATATTACTGTATTGTTCTCTGGTCCAAGGACTGTGAATAAATGTTGGTCTAAAAATCAGCTGTAGTTGCATTGCTATCATTATCTTTATCTTCAGTGCTATGGGACATGGGATGGGATTGTGTATATTGTAATTTTCATTAATTTTGCAGATGAGCATTTGGATCTTGATGGTGGCCGTTGGGATGATGTTCATGTCATCACTGGGGCACTCAAACTCTTTTTCCGTGAACTGCCTGAACCGCTCTTCCCCTTCAGCTATTTCGACAGATTAATTGCTGCTGCTAGTAAGATAATATTTGACTCTTGAGAAGAATAAAAGGATTATTTAGTGGCTAACTTTGAATATCAAAGCCATAAATTTTCTGATTGTAAGACATTATCTCCCATAACTAAGGTGTGGTCAGACTTTAATATATACGTAGAATGTTTTTACTGAATACCTGAGATCCAGAAATCATAACAGGACAAAATTTGAGGGGGAGGGCTTAGTTAGTCTTGACTCCTGATGACTGGCTGGACTAATACATGAAATTTTCATGGCAACAATTTCAAAAGTGACTTACTACTTCTTTCTTCCTAGTGACTACCTCAAAATTATCAGCTGGCTTCATGCCTAAGCTGAGCTAATACTTCCAGAACTAGAATTTTGAGTTCAGAAAGGTGATTTTAATATTCTGCATATAAAAATTCTTTTTCCAGGTTATCTATATTTCAGTTGTTTCTCTTGTTGAAGCAATTGGAAGTTAGAAATTGTGTCAATCTAGCAAATTGCCTAGATTGATAGTAGAAGATATAGGTCTATTTTTATTCTGCCCATTCTTTCCCATTGCTTATTTATTATTTAAAGCAGAGATAGAGAACTTGTAGCAACTGAAGATCACACTTAACTCTTTCTAAATTGTGGTTAGGTAGAGTAATATTAAACAGACAGAGAGTAACATTAAACCTGGGCACGGCCAGGTCAAAACAAAAAGAACTAAAAATAAATTGAGTACATTTCTGTGGATTATAATATTTAAATCCAGTCTAAGTTTTTAGTATATAGAGCCAGTTTTGTCTAGAGGTTAAGCCACAGGATAGAAAGCAGGAGACCGTGAGATCAACTGTTGCCTTAGTCATAAAAGTTATCTGGGTAACTTTGGGCTCTCTCTCAGCCCAGCCCACCTCACAGGGTTGTTGTTATGGGGAAAATAAACGGAGGAAGATATGTTGGATATGTTTGCTGCTTTGAGTTATTTCTAAAAATAATAAAGGCAGGGTACAAATAAATAAATGATAAATAATTTAAGGAGATTCCTTCAAATAACAGTGTTACAAATCAAAAGTGTCTTTTTATCAGCAAATTTCAATGGGGAGATGGTTAATAAGATCCCATTAGAGCTCTGTTTGGGAAAAGTAACACAGATTGCCTTTTCCTGCCTTGTGACAATTAATATCAATACAGGTAACGATAACCACAAATATCAACATCTGATGGTCCCAGTTGGTTATTGTCACATTGGATGCCATACCAAAAAATCTTGGACAGCGCATGAAAAATCTGCACATTGACAAAATTTCCATCTGCCAATTACAAAAGGCCATTCTACTGGGATCCACACAGATATATATTACAACTTCCTAGGTTCTTAGAAAGAACTTGATTCTTAGAAAGAACTTGATGCATGTGAAGGCCAACACAGCTAAAGAACTGCCAGCTGTGATAATGTTTTTAGTGAATAATGATTTTAGTGAACTAAGTATGTTGTGAGAAAAAAGAAAAAATATAGAGTTAAAAACATGGACACAAGCAAAAGCAAAATAGAATGGACACTTCATCATAAACACATAGAGACCACATGTGAATAATATACTGTTTTTTGGAATTTGAGGAGTCATGGCACGTAGCAAACCAGGTTTGGCAAAGCCTTTCTTTGTAAAAAAAAAATCGTATTAGGAGAATGTGACTTCTGGTCTGATATGCACCTTCCCAACCCCTCCTTTTACTCTTGACTGCTGTGGGAAGAGCAGGGTAAGAAAGTACATAAATGGTATGGTGTCCTGTGTTTCCATCGCAGTGAAAAATAACAGTGGAAAAACTCCAGGTAATCTGTTACTTTTTAGAATTATTTATATATAAAGAACAAAATGATTAAAATCTCCTTTGGGGGGGGGGAAACTGCAGAAACTATAGACCCCGCAAAGCGAAGGCATGACTTACGAGAGGTTGTCTATTCTCTACCTCCTGCTAATTTCAATACCACGAGGGTTCTCTTCCAGCATCTTTCCAGGTGAGCAACATCATTTACCAGATCTTTTAGTCAGTTTAGGCTGTTAAAATACTAACTTTACAATAAAAGCAGCCCTGTGACCATAGATCCTTTGTAAATGTATTGCTTCAGCCACAGTCTCTTGCAACTAGACCCTTATGACAGTTTACTTTGCCTTTTGGTCTTCCTTCCTTTAAGTTCCCACTAGGAAGCAGATCCCACCTGGTTCCCTATCTGCCTGCCTGATTGCCCTACTGTAGAAATTTAGTTGATGACACTTTCAGTGCTGTGTTACTTGAAAGAAATAATATTCAATGAAACTTAAGCAGTCCGATGGACACAAAAGGGCAAGTGGGTAGCAACCATCTTTATAGAAGAGTACTAGTACATCATAAAAGTACTGTAAGTGATAAAATTAAATCCAGCCAAAAGAAATTAGAACTTAAGTCCACTTATTTCTGGTGGCATAGCAGAATTGTTCTTATAGCTTCAAGGTGTTCTTCCTTTTTTTTCCCCCAGGGTTATAGAGTTCCGGGAGAAGAACCGCATGTCTCTGCAGAGTATTGCAATTGTTTTTGGGCCAACTTTATTGAGGCCACAAGACGAAGAAGGAAATATAGCGATGTACATGTTTTTCCAGAATCAGATTATGGAGCAGATTCTTAGTCAGACCAGTTACATATTCCCAGAAAGTTAGACATAGAGCTGTACAATGGAGTGGCTTCAATGTGAGAACAACTCCTGTTGCTGTAAGAAAAGAGGTGTCACTGGCTAGAGCCAAAGATAGGGACAATGAAGCTGAGCGAGAAACATTTGGCAAGCAATCAAATCTTCTCTGCTGGATTCAAAAAGTTTGTTTTTGTAGGTTGGAAACATGGGTGAGGAAACCCTGTTGGACAAGTAATGGGCTAATTGCCTGGCACGGTATTCTGCATCCGTGATTTTCAACATTTTTGTTGACTATGTGATTTAGTTTGTGTAAAGTTTGGAGAAAGGGGGAGGCTTTGTGAGTGAATCTAAAGATTTATTTTTCAACCAAAGTAATTATTTTTCAAGCAATACCGCTAGTTGTGAAGGAGTTGAGGGAAATAGTACACCGATTAATATATTTTGAATCTTGAGGAAGCTTTTCTTTAATGAAATATTGTTGAAAATGTGAGATGGGCTTGAAGAAAGTCAGACTTTCATTTGGTTAACATTGGTTGCTCTGACCCCACTTTATTGATTGAAAGACATAAAATGTCACAGTACTAATACATGATCACAGTATTGGCATTGTAATACAAAATTCAGATTTGTTGTATTAATTTCTGTGTATCATTGCTTGTTCCAATATATGTGTAAATTATCTGACATAAGATAACTTGCACTTTGAGATGAATAAAGAGGAATTCAACTTATTTGTGTATCTGATCCTTGGGTAAACCAAGTTCAATATAATCACATAGTGAAGGAGGGCATCCCATGAATTGTACAACCCAACAGTTACATCACCAACAATGGTTGGCAAAATGCCCAAAAGTTGTAGCCCTTCAGAAGATTGAGAGGTCAGGTTGCAGCACCTGACCTCTCAGATACTGCATGCTCCCTGGTTGGAAGCTGCTCAGAGAGCTTGATGTGCCTCTCCCACAGGGATGCAATGGGAATTTTAGCTGGATCTTTTTTTCTCTACTCCTCCAAGTTCGCCCATTTTTAGACATTCTTTTGTACCTCTTACTCTGATCAGTTTTCAGAGAATTATTCTGCTAAAAGGCAAAGACCGTAATAGTTCAAGGATATATAGGCCACATTGACTGATGGCACTGCCACCTGCTGATGTGAAGATTCCTTCTTTTAGAATTATTTGGAGGGATTAGCATTTTTCCCCCATTAAACTATGGCAGTATCTACTTAGCCTTAGCCTAAAGCCAGCCCAGGACAGAAAGAATTCCAACTTCTTCCTTTATATGATTTCTTTCAACATTGCATTGGGCTGAAAAGAAAATCAAGGTAGCAAATGCATGCAGAAAGTTATTCTGCTGACAAATGGATGGCAAACACAAGTTTTTAAAACATCACAAACTATTTTGGAGAGAATTTCTCTCTCCTGTTTTATTATAACAGTACTTCTTGATGGAGAGAGGGAGGCACTGTATCCAGGCTTTTTAGTGAGTAATGAAGCTGGAAGATCTAGTATATTGTCCAGGTCTTAGGTATCTTTAGCATTAATTTTTACCTCCAATTACAACTACCCAAGCATTCTTTTACAGAAATTAGAAAATTTGAGAAACCATGAGACAGCTGTCTATACTCATTATTCTTTCCTAGAAGGCTCTACTTTAGTCTAAGATTGATGATACAATTAATTCTGTGGCAAGAATGTACGTGTGTGTGTGTGTGTGTGTGTGTGTGTGTGTGTTTAAGTAGTAATTTGTGATATAATGCAAGCAACTATGCCTCTGATAAACATCATCAAATATAATTGGATTCTTTCCCTAATATAGTTTAATCCTAAATACTTCTTAGGAAGCTAAATTTGAGACCCAGATGCCTTAATTAGATAATAAAAAATAGTGAATATAGTACTTCTTTTATCTCCTATACAAAACTTGTTTTTAAAATGGTTGTTACAGCTGGAGGTTTTTGTTCCATTATGACTTCTCCTAAAGTAAACAGCTATCCAGTAAACAGATATACAATAATAACTCTTCAATAAAGCATGCTCAGCTGGGGAATCCTGGGAGTGGTAGTCCACAGGTCTCAAAGTTGCCCAGCATTAAGAAAAGCACTAAGATACAGTCAAAATGAGGAAGTGGCATCAAAATGGAATGAGGCTTCATCAACTTGCTAATTGTAACATGTCTTTTCTTGTGGCCTGCTAGTGGCAAGGTTCTCCATCTTGGGTGAGAGGCACAAAAGAAGAGAGATCAGACTTGAGCGGGCAGAATGGGAGCAGAATCAACTTTCATTCTAGTTTCTGCTCTTCATTTTGCCATTGCAAAACTGCAATGGGCAGTTTTATGACAAAGTTTGGGAACCCTCTGGGATATAAAGTTTACTAAATAAAATTTGCTTACATCTCTTTTCCAACTCTATCATCAGTGAAATCATTATTTGTGAGGGAATCACACAAATTCATTTACTATTTTAGGGGGCCTTAATATAGAAAAGTTTGTGAAATGCTGCTTTATAATATTTATTAGACAGACTACAGTATATTTCATTCTTGGGCATACTGCAGTTATTTTCTTCTGCAAGGAAGGTTGAACACATCTCAGCTGAAAGCACCCACCCCAAATCCTCCATGCATGGCCAGCCCACTTTCAAAGCTCGCCTCTGTCCATCTGGCATCCGTTCAGTTTTATCTTGCTCAGGAATGTAGGCAGGACTTAACAAGAAGGCTGAAGAGTTGTACTAGCAGACAAGGGGCCTGTCTTACCTTCGAAAGAACTTGCTTGGAAGAGTTCTTGGCAAGTGAAGCGGTGTGGCCTTCTCCAGTACAATATTCCCAGGTAAAGGGAAGGACTATTTTAGTGTGCATCCCCATTGCCTCTAGGTGAAGCCTTTTCCTTGGGGGGGGGGGTTGATTCTCCAGCTACATTTGGGTGCATTTCCATTTACTTTTGTTAAAAGATCTGAAAAGAGGCAAGAGGTTTGTTTTAGCCCTCTTTTGTTTTAGGAGTAAAAAATGATCAGAGTTCACCGACTAATCCTCTTTTAAAAAGCAGATGTTTTGCTTCAGAGAAGGCCGCTGTTATGAGGGAGCTGTTGCTAAGGCAAAATTCCTAAGCTTCCTCACTGCCATATTTCATGTCTCTTTTTTTAATGTTATGAATTTTACAAAGGGGCTGTGTTGACAGTGGGCTTAGTAATATATCCAGGAAGTTTCTCTGATAATAATGAAGTTATGGTGCTTGCATAAAAAGTGGCGAACAACAGAAACTGTTGGAAAAACACTGAAAATAAAATAAGACATTCTATTGTTCTTTTTTTTTAGGTATTTTAACAATTGTAAGGTACCCAAAATGTCTGGAAGCAGCATATACACATTCATGCTATGGTAGATTGCACAATCCACCAGATGTTTACACTGACTTTGGCATTTTTCCCACCTATTGAGTCCTTCCCAAAGACCTAGGATAGGTAGATATTGTTTAATAATATTAAATGTATCATCACAGGATGTAAGCTGTTCCAAACAACTTGCCTTTTGTAACTGACTGATAGTGATTGTGTCAATACTGATGACGTTCATGTGGTGTTCTAGATGCTTTGGAATTGTATCCTATGCGCTTATTAATTTTGGTATCACTTTTGCATTTTTTTGCCACAGTTCTATTTCTATTTGCAGTTATTCTATTTCTATTACAATATACTGTATCTTTGTATTTTGTAATTTTCTCCAGATTTATTATTATTATTATTATTATTATTTGTTTGTTTGTTTGTTTATTTACTTACTTACTTATTTCATTTTTAAAATTTATATGACCACTCACAGTGATTCAGACACACTTAAAGCAACTAAAAGTCCACCCCAGCCAGGGGCAGCAGATGCAGTCACACTAGCCACTTGACTGGTTGTTTCAGCTTGAGATCCAGCTGACAGTCCATGTTTTCAAGGCAATCCAGAAAAGTAAGAAGATGGGAGTCAGTCTTATCTCTGGTGAAGTGATATTCTATTAACAGGGAGCCATAACTTTTTCTTGGTCCCACAATTTGTTTTCTATTCCACTGTTTCCAGGTATTGCAAGGACTATTATTATGTGTGCGTAATTTATTGTTATATTCTACGTCTAACTGTAGATTACAGCCTAAGATTGATGGAAACTTAATAATTCAGATCTTAACCAAGAACCTAAGAATTATTGAGGTAGCATCTAAGAATATAGGCAGTTCCAGACAGGATAACTCTTGTAAAATTAGGGTGTTCAGAATGAAATACTGATAAATTCCATACTTTCAAATATCAAGATAGTCCTTTAGGTATCACTCTGAGGGTTCCAATCGCAATTGGATTTTTTTTCCATAAGCACCCAACTTCAATTTGCAATATTTCTTAATTTTATACAATTGTTTCTCTTCAATCCTAGTATCACCAGGAACAGAAACATCAATGAAGCAGATTTTTTCTTCTTTTCAATAATTATTATATCAGTCATGTTACAAATAAAGTGCTATCTGTTTGGATCTTAAAATCCATAAGATCTTAACCCACTCATTTTCCAAAACCTTCTCAACTTTTTGGTCCTATTGAAATAGATTCCTCAGCTTTTCAAATGTGGATCAAATAAAGATTAAGATGCCTTAAATGTTAATCCAAGTTGTGCAAGAGGGCAGGGGAAATACATTTTTATATTATACCACAAACTCAGGAAAGTATGGCTAAGTCACATTTTCAATGAGAAATTATCCCATTATATCCATTATAACAACGAATTGATTATGATAATGAGATCTGCTTTGTTGTTTAACAGTGCAAGATTTATATAAGCAGTAGAATTTAAGGTCCATGGATATCACACGCTCTATTTTACATGTAACTGCAAACTGTGCTAACCTCCTGCTCTATAGTGAATGTACATGCAATCCTTTTTTTTTTTTTTCCATGAAAAACCGATTGAGCCAGTGTCTAGTGTCTGCCAGACTAAAAGTGTTTCCAAGGAAATTATCTTTGTCTTCCATGAGTTCTTGCAAGCTATTTGCTGTGGGTTGGGATAATGGGGTAAAGGTCATGCATGAGTAAGTTGTTATTTGCTCAGTTGCTTTTTTCATGTTAAAGTTCCGGTAATGGCGGCAGATCCTATATTTCTACAGAGTACAGGTGAGAATTTTTTATTTTTTAAAGCCTGTAGTTTCCTAAGTTAAATTTGTTAGGCTTCTTGTAGCAAAACCTCACGTCCCAACTTCTGCACTGTATGCACAGTATAACCAAGCAAAACACAACCATATCTCGCCTGATTGTTTTAGCAACTTAGAACTGAAGATCCTTCAATTAAGGGTTATTATTTGGGTTTAGGTACAGTACTTAATAAAATGCAGCCAGATTTTAACTGATAATTTGCATATTTGCCAATTTTTAAAATTGCCAAAGAGTTGAGATACCAGTTTCATTTGTTATCCCTATTACCTGACCTTTAAAAAAATAAGTCTGGAAGGAAAGCAGTTTTCATTCAAATGTGATGTTTCCCTTTCAGGTACAGAAGGTTTTTTTTTTTTAGTTATATATGATTTCTAGCTATTAAAGATATTACTGCATATAAATTTAACTAGTAATAATAATTAGGCAAAAATTACTTCCTTTGCTCTTGAGCTTTCAGTTGCAACTTGCTTTTTATAGTTGATTATTGTTATGTAACCAATAATAAGATAAGGCTAAAGTTTCCAAACTTTAATGGCCTGGTATAGACATAATGCTGAATTATGAATTATGATATACAAACTAAATTGACTGGTTTTACACATTATGCTTTACCATAGTTGTTGTCAAGGGCTAGGAGAAATCAGGAGATTCAGGCAGTTCAAATGAGTATAAAGATTTATTGCAAGCTTAAGCTCTCTACAACAGTGGTTCTCAACCTGTGGGTCGGGACCCCATTTGGGGTCGAACAACCATTTCACGGGGGTCGCCAAACAATGCAGTCCGCCATTTTTTTCCCGTTAGCTGTGCTACTCCCTTTTATTCTATTGGCTTTTGAATAGAGTCTAATTCTATTGGCTTTCAAAAGCCAATAGGGATTGTCCAGGCTGTCTCTGCCCTGCTGAGCCCGCCAAAAGTCCCATTCTGCAAACGGTGCTGCACCAGTTGAGTAGTCCTCGACTTACAACCGGTTGAGTAATCCTCGACTTACGACCGGTTGGGGGTCACAGCATTAAAAAGGTTGAGAACCACTGCTCTACAAGAATCTGAGCTACTAACAGTCAAAGTGAATTGGTGATAGATAAAAGTCAAAGGAATTCAAGGTGGCTGGACTAAAATTTCTTATGGGCATGCAGGGACTCTTGACTGATGAGGCATTTGACCCCCTCCTTTGGGCTCAACCTGGTCATCTGCTATATCACCCATCCCTCCATATTGGCCCCTCTCCTCTTCCATAGGTTCATTTATGCTGCTTTTCCCTTCCAGCATTCGAAGTCTGAGTTCTCATGCAAAATTGGCAAGGGTGGAAGGGAGACAGTTTCAAAGGACTACTCCTCCCCTTCTTCTCCAGGAGCTGGTTGTTGTAACACACAAACATTGTTAGAGGGTCCCTCCCCTTCCTTTCTCAGGAATTGAAGGCCAGATGTGGAAGGCAAGTCTCCCTCATCCCCCTGGAGAAATGCAGAGGGACTGTTTAACATATTCTTCAACAAGTTCCTGTGGTGAAATTTGGCAGAGTGCTAGTAATTTGGTTGGCCATGGCTTGTCAGGGAAGTACTGGAGGAAATGACAAATTAAATCAAGAGCATGAACAAACTGTGCATTTTCCCAGGAGTGATCTGCAACCATGTAGCCTTTCCAATTAATCAAGTACTGGATGCCTTTTCCTCTTTTTCTAAAGTCTAAGATTTCATCCACTTCATATTCTGGTTCTCCCTCTGCTATGACTGGCATTGGAGAGTGTTGCTGGGATCTTATTGTGCTTAGGGCAGCATCTTTGGAATGTAATACTTGGTGAAATACTGGCCTTTCCATTCATGGCAAAGTGATGAACTGAGGAAAAGTTGACCTTGACATTAAGTAGCTGAAAAATGCTTTCCAAAATTTAGATTGGAATTGCATGCCTCTGTCTGACACAAGTGCTGAGACCATGCCATGGTATCAAAAGATGTGGTCTAGCAAAAGTTGAGCTGTGTCTTTATTCTTATGAGTAAACCCTGGTGCAGTTGGGTGGCTCCCAACCTCTCAACGGTTGGTAGTGATTGATGAATCTGGAAATTGGAAGAGTGTAGGATTGTTGTTGGTTATGGGAACTATTGAATAATAGAATATTCTGGTTTGTGAGAGAACGCATCTGGCATTAAGTTCTTGGAAACTGGGATGCATTTAATGTAGAAATCAAAACATGAGAAGAATTGACTCTATCTGATTTGTCTGGGTGGTAGTGGCAGGGTATGTAGATTCCTGTGTCAGTGTTGACCTCTATAGGAAAATGTGCACCTTCTAGGAAGTGTTTCCAGTGTTGGAATGCTGATTTAACAGCAAGGAATTCTTTATTAAACATGTCATAATTGTGTTGTCGGGCAGACAGAGCTCTGGAAAAGAATGTGCATTGCAAGAGGCATGGCTGTCTTTTGTCTCTCCCACCTATAAAGGAACAGCTCCAATGGCAACATCTGAGACATTGATCTGGACAATAAATTTCTTTGATATGCCTGGGTGCTGAAGGAGGTGTTCACTAGCAAAGATCTGTTTTAACTCTTTGAAGGCTGATTAGTGTGTAGAGATCCAAATGAATTTAATTCCTGTCTTTGTCAGCTGGATCAGTGATTTGGCTTTATGAGCAAAGCCTGGTACAAATTTTCTGTAGAA